CAGGTTTGGCCATGTGACTTGCTCTGGCCAATGCAAGGGAAGCAGAAACCATGAGCCTCACTTCTGAGCAGAAGCTTGGGGAGCCTGTGTCTGACCTGCATGTTCTTTTCCCTTCACCAGGAGACAGGAGATGTTTCAAACAGAGGCTGCTCCCTTCAGCCTGGATCCCAGCTCAGACACTCGTGGAGCAGAGCTGCTGCCAACAGTGAGGGGCTAGGAACGTGAGCAAGCAATAGGCCTTGGCTGTCATGAGCCACTGGAACTGTGGGACCATTTGTCACTGCAGCAGATCTTAACATCTACTAGTCTATACTACCCAGGGACAAGAAGAGAGAGTAAGCAGTCACTCTGGAGCAGAGAGTACAGGAGGAGAGGGAGACAAGGTTTGGGGTCAGAAAGGCAGGGAGGTCCTGGGTGGGGGTGATACTGAAAGGGAACTGGAGGGAAGAGCAGCAAAGACTAATTTTGCTCATTTTTCAACTTTGCCCTTGGACCTTGTTCTTAATTGCCTACTACTGACAAAAGACAGCAATTTGTGATGCAATGCATTGCCCTCATCAGATGGCACTTGCCCTGGGTGAAGTGGCAGATCTTTCCAGGGGAAATTTACAGAGAAAACACTCCCAGAGTGTGTGGGGTTGGAAGGTGTGTGGGTGTCCATGTGCCCTGGGCTATGTTAGCTGGGCATCTCAGCTGTGCCCTCCTGAAAGGACCTACAGTTAGTAATTTCAAAGTCATTCACCTTGAGTCAAGTTAATGATGGAAACCATACAGCAAAATGTTTGATTCTGTCAACCTGACTCAGACAGTAGTTAACGCCTACCTGGATGGAAAATGACTAAAATAAGGTCATGTGGCTCAGTCGTGTCTTTCATTTTAATTTTTAATGATGGGAAAGAAAAGAGTTAATGGGCTCTGTGGCACAAAGAAAGGAGCTGCTCTTAGGCAGACCAGGGCACAGCACCTGGTCCATCAGGTGGCCTTGGACAAACTAGTTAATCGGCTGGCTTTCCACCTGACTGGAAAGAGACAGGGAATGGATGTTGCTATTTATGTCTCTGGGCCTCAGTTTCCTCATCTGTAAAATGGGCTTGAGGATGCTCACTTTATAGAACTCATGTAGGGAACACATGAGTGTGCTGAGGGACATGTTGATAGTATATTGGATTAAGACTATGCAGATGAAGACCTGCTGAATGAGGAGGCAGAAACCCCCCCTTCATGGGGTGGGCAGGGAGTTCCCTCAGGATCCAAGTTCCCCACTTTGGGGAAGTGAAAATCCCAGGGTTATTTTGATTGAAGGTGCAGTTTCAATACACTCACACAAAGAAAGCAAAGTCACAAGATTTGTTACTTGCAGATCCCAGAAATGGGGTAGGGGTGCAAAGAGCCAGGGGAGGGGCAGTCCTCCATCCCAGGTCATGAGCAAGCAGGAGACAGAGAGCAGGGTAGCAAGCACCTGTTACTTATCAGGTGATGGAGGTGAACATCACTAACTTTTCACAGGCTCGACTCTAAGTGGTCCCTTTAAAAGCTGCCCCATGAAAAACTAAGCTTGGGTCCTTATCTAAATGTCCAGACTGGGTGACAGCAGGATTGTCACACTATAAGATACCTGGGCAGCCATCCAGAATAGTGTTCCCTTATTACAAGGAGGTGGCACATTTGAACAGCACAGGACAGTGCCCAGCATTTAGTTGATTGTTGGTGAATGTCCATTTCTGCCTCTTTCCATTCCGTGAGCCTCACGAATGGGTTGCAAGAAGGATGACAATACAGTAAAGCAGAACAGTGGGACATTTGGTCCTGAAGTCAAGCCGAACGGCCACGGGGGTGAATGCACATCATTTCCCCGATGGTCTGCAGACAACAGCAGCCTTGGAAGTGAGTCCACCTCGTGGTACCTCCAGTCCCTAGTGTGTAACCAACTCATCTCCACTGGGTCTGGTTCTCCAGTGGCTCATCTACTCCTTAGCAACCCACAGGGGAAAAGCTAACCACCCAATCTTACAGAAAGTTGGCTCAAGTCTCTCTACCCACACCAGAGGCAGGAGTGAATCAAGATCATATGCCTGGAGGGAAGAGAACCTAGACTCAACTCAGTGGTCTCTCTCAATAGAGACCGAGTTTCCCAGGTTCCAATGCTCCCCAACAGCTGAGTGGCCACAAAATAATGTTCTTCCGATAGGTGGTTCATACTTTTCTAACACAGCCACCCGTGGGTCTGCCAGCTAAGAATAGACTGAGAGGCCACACAGTGGAATCCACCCTACCCCAAGATTCAGCACAAACATTCAACTGAAAGCCAGTGAAAGGCGTGCACAGGGTCTGTGTGCACTAAACTGGGATCTTGGTCTAGAAAAGCCATTGGCAAACCAGGATCAGAGTCTCCTGAACACCATGTACAGCAAGCGTGGGAGCCTGGGTCATTCATCTAAAGGAATTTTTATTCTAAAGGAGCAGGTGGTCAGCTAGCACAGGGGTGCGTGACAACTCTGGCCACTTCATGCACCTTGACTCAGCATGCAGTTTAGCTGCTGTAGTAGAGTGAGTGTTGATGCCCAACCGTAGGGTAACTGTTGATATCAGGATAGGAGTCCTTCCCCACCATGCTCAGTTCAAACGCTGGGGCATGCTGACCCCACCCTCCACTCCAGGAATGGCATGGGACTTGCATCTGGTCAGTCAGAACATTCCATTCCCTTGGTTATGGCAGCTGGCCACACCATTCAGAAATCCCACAGAGCCACAGAGTTGTAATGCAATTGCTGCTGGGACTGTGGAGAATGAAGCGAATCCATAATGATGACTCTGGGACAGTGTAAGCACGGAGCTGGTGAGGGCCACCCTATGCACAAGTGAAAATAAAGTAAGCAGAGAACAGCATAGAAAAGAGAAAGGAGAAAAGGTAGCTGATGCGATTGTCTGAGTTCCTGCATCAAACCAAGTCTTACTTATCCCACTGGCCAATACATTCTCTCTCTCACTTAGGTCAGTTTGAGCTGCTTCTGAGCCTTCGAACAAATGCAATAGTCTTTGCTACACATGGACTATTGGTGCCTTTTGGCCCTCCCTCCATTTCCCCTGTCGACATGATTTAGTTTGGTCGGACTCCTTCTTCATGGGTCTCTGACTCAGGACAGAGACGTTTCCAGCTGCACTCTTCTGACACGTGGACTCCAAGCTTCCAGAGCTCCCTCAATCAGGTGGCTCTGAGCTGTCTTCATGTGTCACTAGCGGCCAACCACCATGGAAACTTATCTCTTCACGCCTAAGTCTTCCAGCTCAGGCATTGGAGACTCTGAACTCCAGAGGAACAGCAGGAAAAGTGTCACCCTGTACCCAGAGGAGGAGAGAGGGATCAGCTTCTCCACCTCCCCGCAGCAGTCTGGAACACCAGAGCCCTGCCCTCCTCGCCAGCCTGGAGAGGGCCCATGACATTTGCACATGGTGCCCCTGAGGGTGTCCAAGGCCAGCTAAGCGGATGCTCCTGTTGCCCACAGCCCGGATCAGCCGCGATAGTCTGAACTCCACCGTAGGGCAGGTGTGGCAACACAGTGATGCTCATTCACTCTTTTTGTTTTATTGTAGTTTATTGATTATGCTATTACAGTTGTCCCGTTTTTCCCCTTTTTCTCCCCTCCACCCAGAAACCCCACTTCCTCAGTCAATCTCCCAACACGTTCATGTCTATGGACCATGCATATAAGTGCTTTGGCTACTCTGTTTCCTATACTGGACTTTAAATCCCCATGGCTATTCTGTAATGACCTATTTGAACATCTAATCCCTTTCCCTCTGCACGCATTCTCCCCCTCCCCAGTCCTATCTGCCAACCTTCTGGTAACTATCATTTTTTCCCTTGCTTTTAGGGTCCCTGTTTATTTGTAACTTTTGGCTTTCTAACAATGATGTCTTGAAGTGAGCCTCTTGCATACGTCATGATTGGGATTCTCTGCATGTCCTGCACTTGCATGTTTAGTTCCCTCCTCCAGTAAATTAGGGAAGTTTTCTTCCACAATTTTTTCAGATACATTCCCAATTCTTTCTCTTTCTCTTCTCCCACTTCACTGCTATGAGATGACTGATGGACCTCTTAATGTTATTTCACAGGCTTTTATACAACCTTCATTTTTTAATTTTTTTTTGTTTTTTTTGGAATCTTTTTTCTTGTTGTTCTGACTTGCTGGATTCATTTTCTTTTTTCATTTTCTAATTTTCTTCTTTTGGTTCCTTATCTTCCAAATCATTTGTTTGATTCTTGGCGTCTACCATTCTACTGTTCCTTCCCTGTAAAGTGTTCTTTATTTCAATGAGAGTAGGCTTCGTTTCTGACTGGGTCTTTTTTATGCTGCTGAGATCCTCAGTGAGTTCCTTGAGCATCCTTATAACCAGCGTTTTGAACTCTGCCTCTGATAGATGGCTTCTCTCCATTTCATTTAGCTGTTTTTCTGGAGTTTTGATCTGTTCTCCCATTTGGGCCATGTTTTTGTCTCCTCGTTCTGGCAGCCTCCCTGTGTTGATTTCTAGGTATTAGGTGGAGCTGCTTTGACTCTGTGTCTTGGTAGTGTACTCTAATACAGTAGGTGTCCTGTAGGGTCCAGTGGCACAGCCTCCCCTCGCCCCCAAGAAGGGTCCTACAGGTGTGTCCTTTGTGTGCGTTGAGTACTCCCTTCTCTTGTACTTGATCATAGGTTGCACATGTTCATTGTACTCTCACACATGTCCTCTGGAGACCATCCACTCATTTTTGCAGTGGAGAAGAGACAGAGTGCCCCACCGTGCCACACCACCCCTGTTTCCCATACTGTTCTGCCATCGGACACCAGACACATACATTCTGTGATTTTAGAATCTAGAGCAAGAAGGAGAGTGCAGTCTCCACACAATGCCTGGCCCAACTCGGCATCACCTACATCGATCAGCAACAGAGAGCTCAAAAGGGAAGTGGAGGACGGTGGAATCCACACTCTCACAGCAGCAGCGGGAAGGCCAGACAATCACAGCCCCTTCAGAAAGTGGACCACGGCGTTCAGAATCCGCGTGGAGCAGGGGAAGTAAAACCCCCACAAGCCGATCGTGCTGAGCACCCCGTGAAACCCGTCCTCCATGTGGCGCCAAGTCACGGGGACTCCCAGGTCCTCCAGTCTCTTCTTGTACAGCAGCGAATCATCCCGGAGAAAGTCATACTCACAGCTCACGATGAACGCTTCCGGAAGCCGAGACACTACTTCATCTTCTGCAATCAGAGGCGCGTTCATCAAATCCAGAGTGATGTCTGTCTCTAGGTGAGCATCCTCATTGAAGGGCACAAGGGGCACCTGCTGGTAGCCTCTCTTCTTAAATCTGTCTGGGATGTTTTCTGAGCCCAACCACTTTCTGTACTTCTTCCAGACTTCCACCGGCATATGGGCACCTTTTAAAATGGCGCTTTTCCAGTAGGGCTTGATGTCCAGATAATAACAAAGACAGCTGAAGGCAAAGTTCAAATTCATGACTGGGCCATTCCCATTCTGTTGGTAGGATGGGAGTTGTAAATCCAAGTCTTGGAGAATAGCATAGATCAGGATGTGAGCACGGATCTTGGGGAGATCTGACCTGTCTATGAGTTTTTGACATATTACCGCTGCTATTAACCCTCCAGCGCTGTCCCCACAGAGGACAACCCGGGTTGGATCCACCCCGTACAGATCCAGGGACTTGAGAAAGTGGATGGTGGCCACCAAGCAGTCCTTCACTGGTGTCGGAAATCTATGCTGGGGTGCCTTGCGGTATCTAAAAAGGAATTAAGGAACAGGGTTTACATTCATCACCCTGGGAGAGCCCACGACACCCGTGTCTCACATCCTTGAGCTCAAATTTCTCCATTCACTCCTCTTTCTGACACCTGAGCAGGTACATTAAGGGACAGGGCTTGAAGGAGCTGATAGAAGGAACATCTCAGTGCCTGGTGCATGGCCTCACTAAGTGGTAGCTGCCTTTCCCACTGTCTCACAGCCAATGTGGGGCACAGGCTGTGATCACTGGGCTCTGTCAGCCCCCTGTTATGGGCCAACGACTTAGCTATGACCAACAGGAGCCCCATCCTCCTGACCCTACCTGATGGTGCTGCCCATACTCACACCTGTTCCCGCCTTCCTGATTTCATCTATGAGCCAGCCCTTGTGAGTCTGCATTTAGATGGTAAATAACGTGGCCATGCTCACAAGTTTTGTGGCCTCCCCTCTTGGAGACTTAAATACAACCAAGGACACCCTAACCGGTGTGGCTCAGTTGCATATGTGTAGGTCAGCAAAGGAAAAGGTCGCCTGGTAGACTCCCAGTCAAGGCACCGTCCTGGGTGGCGGGTTTGGGCTGTGGTCCAGGCACGTTCCAGAGGAAACCAATGGAGGTTTCCCCTCTCACATCGATGTTTCTCTCCCTCTCCTTCTCCTTCACTCCCCTCTCTCTAAAAATAAATGAATAGAAGCTAAGATATGTATGTATATTTTAAACACTACCAAAGGCCAGCAGATAACTTATGAGCCTCCTCCAGATCGCCCACCTCTACTCCCGCCTGTGGCTTCCCCCTCAAGTCGCTGTCATGCAGGTTTACTATCCTGGCGTTGCTCTAGCTTCCCATTTCTCAAGAGTCCAGAAATCTGGATAGTGAAACAAATTTTATCATTTTATATCTGGTCTCTAAAAAAAAAAAAAATCGGGCCTTGGCCCGTTGGCTCAGTTGGTTAGAACATTATCCCGTTACCAATGGGTTGTGGGTTGTGGTCCCGTTTGGGGCATTAGGGGAGACTCCCAAAGGATGTTTCTCTCTCACATCGGTACCTTTCTCACCTCTCCCATCCTCTTTCTCTAAAATCAATACAAAGCGTCCACAGGTGAGAGAAAAAAGAAAACATGCCATGGGATCCACAAAGCTTCTGCAAGCAGTTCCATTCCGATGCCCCCCGTTCTGGGCTACCTGGGATGTCAGCACATAAACTCCAAAACCCTGTCTCCTTGGGAGTCACAAAGCAACTTTCTTGCAGATATTTGCTACTATAGTCTACTGAGGACGTCTTGGGTCGGCACAGCCACAAGAGTAAGACAGGCAGGGGCCAACGACTGGGTCACAATTCCCATCCCCCTGCAGGACTGGCTCTGGAGCCAAGAAGCACACAGGGAGGCTCTAGGTTGCGTCTCTTCATCCAGGCCTGATGCCATATTTTTCACTCTACTCTACCAGCTGCGCCACAGCAGAGCGGGGAGACGAAGCCTCACCACGGTGTTGGCAACTGCTATTTCTTCGTGGCATGTGCACATAAACAAAACTGCAGGAAAAGCGGGATCACCAGGAAGCACCTTCCCCCAGTGTGATAATGTGTCAGACAGGATGTCAGGGCCACACCGACCGTGTGACTCCTCTTCATATGGATGTCCAGGTTCCTGAGGAGGGTGCCCAGGCAGCGGCCACCAGTCTCTCCTGCCCCAAGCCCACCAAGCCCCCCTGCTTCTCCAGGCCGGCCGAGTGACTCTCCCAGGTCAGTCAGGACAGGGAGTGGCCCGTCAATTTTTTCTCGCTTCCTTAGAGGGATGTGCACTCTGGAGAACACTTGGAAACGATGTGACAGCACTGTGTGCCGCAGCCCTGGTGCCCGGGCAGGGCGCCCTGGGTGGTGAGTGGAAGGAGGTGCAAAGTGTGCACAGTCACAGGGCTGTTCTGCTCAAGGAAGAGCATCCCACCTACAAGCACTCTGCCGGGCAGCTCGGCGGCTCACCCGCTTAACTAAGCCCGCTACCCACCCAGATTCCAAGCGATGCCGTGCAGAGAATGCCCCAGGGCGCACGCCCACGGGCAGCCCACGGGCAGACGTGCCCATGGTCTGCCCCTGTGCCTCTCCCTCCTCCTTCCTCTCCTCCTGGCTGGCTCACCTGCTACCCGGGCCCCTCCGACTCCCTGCCTGCCCGAGTCCCACCTGCGCCCCATCACTCCAGGACACACGGCCTGGTTTGCCCTCCCCTCCCCACACTGCCCTTCACTCACCCAACTGCCACAACCACTGAGTCGCTCTCCTTGGACAAACGGCAGCATACTTCATGGTAATTTTCTGGGAGAGAAAAGGTTTTGAAATTAGCGAGGTAGGCTTAGTCGGCTTCCTTTGCCTATCACAGGCTGCCCCTTCTCCCTGACAACTACCACGGACAGAGCTCTTGGGTCGTGACTATTGGGTCACAGTGTCTGAGAAGCGACTTGGCCATACGGTACAGTGGTTCAGTGTGTGAACTGTGGATTCAACCCAAGTTCAAACGTCTACTTTGTCTCCTCCTCACTTGGGCTGAAGTCGTGTAGAACACGTCCCTTCTCTCCCGGAGGTTCGATTTTCTCCTCTGTAAATTGGGGATAATGATAGTCATGTGTTGGGGGGTGGCGATGAGCTAATGCGCTTAAGAGGCTTCCCCAGTACCTGCCAAGTAAACCCCAGCATTCGTAGGCACTCATTAATAAGTATTGCTGCTATTGTCATTTATTATGCAGACCACACGCAAAACATGGTTGCTTAAACCCCTTATTCTCAAAGGCTACGGCAAGTGATCCTGGCGCTCAGCACACTGGGAAGCAGCAGAAAGGTGTTTTTCCCCCTCTTTCCTGCAGTCGGGGCGTGGGGAGCGAGGATAATAAAGTGATCTCGATTCTGAGTTTTCTCTCTCATTAATCTTTCTCAAATCTTTGGTCCTCTTGTCTCTTTATACCACACTTGGCCTACAAACAATACGTGATGTTTAAAGAAATGATGTCTTTCATTCATTTTCACCTCTCAACATCCTTATTTCCAACTCAGGTGTCACACAACGTTGTGATGATACCTACTGCCATGGACTCGCACACTTTCAAATGGTGAATGTTATATTCTGTGGACTTTGTAAGTAAAACAGGTATCCCTGCTTTTTAAAAGTGTGCTGTAGTCCCGTTCACTTTTACAAAACACCTACTATTTGTACCTCTTTTTGGCTAACCAAAGGAGGTCCGAAGATGATTCCCACTTTTACCAAAAAAACCAAAACAGGTATAAAAGAAGTGGAAAAGCTCTAATGGCCTTCAGCGTTTGTTCAGGAAGGAGCCCATACAGAGGCAGCGCCTCCGGCCCCCACCCACAACCCTTGTGCGCAGAGAGACGTAGGGGGAGGGGCGACCAGTCTCTGTTGCCCCACGTCTCCAGAAATCTAAGACAGCATCTCAGCATCCAGCCCAGAACTCTGATCTGAGTCTGCGAGCCTCGGGACGTCATCCCGGCCTTTTGGGGTGTCCATTAGCAAGGCGTGTCCTGAGGTAATTGCTTCTTCACCTTACACCTCTTCGGCTTCGGAAGGGTGTCATCGGGACACCCGCCCTTCACATAGTGGGGAAACCAGCATAGACATATGCACATCTCTATGCACATATATATTCCACACATGTCTCCTTACTTCCAGAGAGAGACCAGTACACTCTGCATCTTGGCCGCCTGAGCGGTCTGGGGCCGGATGAGGGCCATGGAGTTCCCTGGTCATAGCGGCAGCTTTTCGATCCCAGGAAGATGACAGAAGTGCCTCAGCCACCCTGCGGTGAGGCTATCACACTACGGGCAGGGTCAGAGGGAAGGACTCTTACTCGGGCTCCCTATGATCATCCCACCGCCGTGGAAGAACAGGATGCCCCGCCGGAGGGTGCAGGAGGGCGCCTTGGGCTGGTACACACGCACGGGGATAGTCCCGAAGCGGAGGTCCTTCACCACCACGTCCGGATCACGCTTGATCGGCAGTAGGTTGTACATGAGAGAGAGAAACTGGGGCATGGAACAGATTCCCACTTTCTCCAAAATCGTGCCCTGTTGGTGAGAGAAGAGGAAATGCATCAAAAGATTTTCTCTGTGTACCTGCTTCATTCCCCAGGCACCTGATGAAGAGTGGCTGAACCCCACCCCACCAGCAGGAAGTCCAGGACCCCCTGACCCGCCACCACCATCTGGAAGTTCCTGTTCCTCCGACTAAAGCTCTGGCAGGTTTACCCACTCTCTCCTTAACCTCACAATGAGAGGAAAGAGAAAACCCACAACTCACCCAGGTCACCAAGAACTGGAAGGCGCAGTCCAAAACCCGCAGTTTCACGGGGTGGCTGATGGCAGCAGGGATGTCCACAGTGAAGAAGTGCCTGCAGACGACCCACAGCCCGACCCCCACGGAGGACACGCAGACTGCCCCGAGGAGGACCAGGAGAAGGACCCACATTGTGCTCTTTCCACCGCAGAGGAGGCTGCGGACCGGACCGCTCAGCACAAGCCACTTAGGAGATGCTTTTGAGCCAGCAGAACACCCACACTTATATCACAACCTGCCTTCCCCACCTCCTCATCTCCCGGAAGAATAGGTCCGGCCCCCGTGAGTCACAGACGTGGTTCTCACAGGCCCACAAAAAGGAGAAAGGGGCCCTTACAGTCCGACCCAGCTGGGAACGAGAGCTCCAAGGTTCCAGCTAACACCCTGGCACCGCAACTGGAAATGGCCTTGCAAAAGTCACCTGGGACATCACAAATACAAGCCTCCCCCTGCCCTCTGACACCCTATTCCACTCTGACCACACTTGCCCTGTCCCAGTCTGCTGAGGAGGCCTCTGGGTGTTCGCACGCACTGTGGCCTGTGCAATACTCCTCTCTTGGTGCCAGCTGAGCTCCGCCTCTCCCCTACCGCAGCTCTCTGCTCACGGGTCCCCTTCTGAGAGATGCTGTCCCTGGCCACGCTATTTAAAATTGCAACTCTCGGCAAGCATTCCAATGCCACGTCCCCTTGCACACACACACACCTGCTTACTCCGTCTTTGGCTTTTCTTGTTACCTGAGATAACATGTTCATCACTTGTTTGTTTATCATCTGCTTTATCCCTGAGTCTAGATCTGAGGTGTGGTACTTAGCAGGTGCTTGGCAAATGTCTACTGAATGAAGGAATGAATAAATAACACCATCCGTTTCAGTCTTAAGCAGGAAAAAAGAAAGAGCTCACCCCTCATTCCAGGTCAGATCAGAGACTGCTCTAAGTGACAGAGACCCTCCCCGACATAGCGAGGTCGCACGTCCACGCTACTAATGATGACATTTCTCCTCCCCCGCACTCCAAGGTCAGCGAGGGGAGCTCCAACAGCGGGGAAGTTACCCTCCTCAAGCCATCTGGCAATGTCTGGAGACGTTTTTGGTTGTCTCGATGGTTGAGTCCCTTTCCCACCGATGAGGCAAAGAAGGCTGCGTGAGGCAACGTGGTTTGTCCACATTCGGCAACAGAGCTGCGATTCAAAGCCGATTCAGTTCACATCTGCTCCAAGGCCCACTTCATCGGTGCCCAACAACCCACCACGACGCACATACCGCAAAGCGTGTAGCAAGCACCGTCGGGAGGACCCCAGCCTTGGACCCTCTCCCATTTTAATGACCTCCCATCATACGGAGCTTGAAAGTACGTGAAAAGCCCTCCCTGTGACACAGAGTGGGCACAACTTCTTACTCATTGTAAAGACACAAAAGCAGAAGCTTATCATGTAAGAAATTCAGTGCTCCTGAAAAAGGAAAACAGGATGAATGAAACTCACAGTGGTTGGGAAGCTTGGGTGAAGACAAGCTGGTCCCACTAGGCCCAAAGAAAACACATAGCCTAGGGAGTGTTAAGTATAGATCGTGAATAAACCCACAGCTTAGAGACACAGGAAGAAATAGCATCGACTGTTCAAGAGAGACAGTGAGCAAGATCGGAACTGAACAACATATTGAAAGCAGAGTGTATAAACAGAATACTTGGAAGGGATAGAGGCATCAAGTAGAAGTCATGGGAGTGCCGTGTCTGGATTGACAGCCACATCATCCTCAATTGGTCACCCACCGGTGACATCCAATATGGTGCCACGCTGGCCCTGCACATCCTTGCCAAAGAATGCAGATGAAATTCACGGTTACTCAGTAGACCAATGAAGGAGCTAGTGCTGTGGCCAAGGGTACCTGCTCTTGGGTCTTGCCATTGAAGGAAGTAGGGACGTTGGTCCCGGCCACGCTCCACATGGTGGAACCCCTGCGCCAGAGGGGAGGGTGGATGTGGCAGAGAGAGGACATGTGAATATTGCATACCCCAGGGAGGCACAGGTATGACTCTCCCCACACCCCGTCCCTAGCACCTTACTCAATATGGACAGACCTACAAGTAAGAGAGCCGGCCGGTGTGCCAAGGTCACCCTGGGTGAGAAAGAAAGAAATCCCAGGCCTGACCTGCTCACGTTAAGATCTCAGCTTCTTCATAAATACTCCTTGGTTGAACCACATTTTATTTTGTTTCTTTTGTGTGTTTGTGTGTATGTGTGCCTGATGCTTTGACACCTGTGGCCCTGCTGACCCCGAAGGGGCTGTCCCTGCCTCTGTTAGCCAATGCCTGCATGAGAGAGACAACAACGCACCTGTAAGTTTGCCTTCCAAATGGGAACCAGCTGATCCAGGCCCACTCCTCCAAACACCTCTCTGTCCACCTGTCCTATTCCGGGTCAGTGTCTCCCTGCCTTTATCACTCAAGGACAGGTACCAAACACCCTAGGACAGCACCTATGTCCCGAGCCACTGAAATCGTTCAAACTAGCCAATCCTGAGACTGGGTAAATGCCTCGACTGTTCCTTCCACGGAAACCATCTCTCCTGACTGTCCCTGATGTTTCCCCGCAAAAACTGGTAGGCACACCCCAAGCGGAGAGCCGTGGCTTCTCACCCGGTTTCCAAACCTAAATCACCTCACGGATCCTGAACCCCAGGAGGAATAGGAGACCAGGTGCCCTTGAAGAAGGCGTCTGCATATTTCTCTAGTTTATAAGGCCCTTCCTCCTCCAAGACCTGCCTGAGGGCTCTGCAGCCGTCTCACAGGACTCCCTGCACACCGGCCCTCCCGCCCACAGTTTCTCGGTTTTTTGGGAATTGATTCTTGCATTTAAAAGCATTTCTTAATTATAGCTGACAGACAATATTATATTAGTTTCAGGCATACAACAAAGCGATGACACATTTATGTAACTTACAAATGATGACCCTGATAAGTGTAGCACCCATTCGACACCATACGGTTATTAGGATACTATTGACTATATTTCCTATGCTATTCTTTACATTCCAAGACTGTTTTTACAACTGGTAATTTGCATATGTTAATCCCTTCTCCTTTTTCACCCATCCCCCAAACTCCTCCCATCTAGCAACCATCAAAATGTTCTCTGTGTCTGTTTGTTTCTGTTTTGTTTATTCATATTTTTGTGTAGTTTAGAATCCACATATCAGTGAAATCAAGTGATATTTTCTTTCCCTTTCTGTCTTACTTCATTTAGCCCAATACCTTCTAGGTCACCCATGTTGTAGCAAAAGACAAGCTTTCATTTTTTTTTAAATATGGCTGAATAATATTCCATTGTACATATGTAGCACATCTTTTTTTCCTTTGTTAAAGCATTTTATGTTTATATTTAGTATATTTTATTGATATTGCTATTACGGTTGTCCTAATTTTTTCCCTTTGCGCTCCTCTGCCTGGTACCCCTATTCCCTCCAGCAATCCTCCCACTTAGTTCATGTGCACGGGTCATGTGTGTAAGTTTTTTGGCTTCTCCCTTTCCTATACTATTCTTAACATTCCCCCTGTTTATTTTGTTCCTACCAATTATGCTTCTCTCTCTTTTTTTATGATTTTATTTATTTATTTTTGGAGAGGGGAAGGGATGAAGAAAGAGAGGGAGAGAAACATCAATGTGGGGTTTCCTCTCACGTATCCGCCACTGGGATCCAGCCTGCAACCCAGACATGTGCCCTAGACTGGGAATCAAACCAGTGACCCTCTGGTTCGGCATCCAATCCAGAGAGCGATTCCAGCCAGGCTGTTCCTATTCATTATGCTTCTTGATCTCTGCACCACTTCTCCCTTTCTCCCCTCTCCCCTTCCCCACTGATAACTCTCCAAATGATCCCCATGTCTATGACTCTGTTCCTGTTCTAGTTGTTTGCCTAGTTTGTTTTTGTTGTTTCGGGGGGTGTTTTAGATTCAGTTGTTGATAGTTGTGGGTTTCTTTTGTGTGTTTGTGTGTATGTGTGCCTGATGCTTTGACACCTGTGGCCCTGCTGACCCCGAAGGGGCTGTCCCTGCCACTGTTAGCCAATGCCTGCATGAGAGAGACAACAACGCACCTGTAAGTTTGCCTTCCAAATGGGAACCAGCTGATCCAGGCCCACTCCTCCAAACACCTCTCTGTCCACCTGTCCTATTCTGGGCCAGTGTCTCCCTGCCTTTTAATGTTCTTAGTTTTGATCTCCTTTTCTTAAATAAGTCCCTTTATTATTTCAACTAATAATGGCTTGGTGATGATGAACTCCCTTAACTTTACATTATCTGGGAAGCACTTTATTTGCCCTTCCCTTCTAAATGATAGCTTTGCTGGAGAGAGTCATCTTGGTTGTTGGTCCTTACTTTTCATCATTTGAATACTTCTTTCCAGTCCCTTCTTGCCTGCAAAGTTTCTTTTGAGAAATCAGCTGATAGTCTTCTGAGAACTTCTTTGTAGGTAACTCTGCTTTTTTCTTGCTACTTGTAAGAGTTTATCTTTAATCCTTGGCATTTTAATTATGATGTGTCTTGGTGTGGTTCTCTTTGGGACCAACTTGATTGCGACTCTCTTGCTTCCTGGACTTGCATGTCTATTTCCTTCACCAAATTAGGGAGGTTTTCTTTCATTATTTTTTCCAAATAGATTTACAATTTCTTGCTCTTTCTCTTCCCTTCCTGGCACCCCTATGATGTGAATTTTGGACCTCTTGAAGTTGTCCTGCAGGCTGTTTATACTACCCTCATTTTTTTAAATTCTTTTTTCTTCTTGTTTTGATTGGTTGTTTTTTGCTTCCTTGTGTTCCAAATCATTGATTTGATTCTCAGCTTCATCCACTCTACTGTTGTTTTCCTGTAAATTGTTTATTTCAAATAGTGAATCCTTCATATTTGACTGGATCTTTTTTATGCTGCTGAGGTCCCCACTAAGTTCCTTGAGTATCTTTTTAATCAGTGTTTTGAACTCTGCATCTGATAGATGGCTTATCTTCATTTCATTTAGCTCTTTTTCTGGAGTTTTGATCTGTTCTCCCATTTAGGCCATGTTTTTGTCTCCTCATTTTGGCAGATGCCCGGTGTTTGTTTCTATGTATTAGGTAGAGCTGCCTTGACTCTGTGTCTTGGT